AATAGAATTTTATCAAATTAAGAATTCCAGGGATGAGACAGCTTTTGGAATGTTCAATTAGAGTAAGTATTTATTTGTTTTGAAGGTTTAATTTTTTTTTTAACATGATTGAAAATCTTATCCACAAATCAAATATCCAAACTAATTCGGAAAATTCTTTTGAGTTGTGTATCATATGACCTTTGGCTATAACTTTTGTGTCTTTAGTTATGACATATTGTGTTATTATTTATAACACATTATGATTTTGGTTATGACATTATTTTTGTTATAATTTAAGAGTTGTTTGGTTATATCTCATGTGATGTTATCAATTTATTAATATTGAGTTATGCCATTTGTGATAATTAAGGATGGCAATCTGAAACCGGCCCGATGGGGACTCGACCCCCCGATCCCGAATACAACGGTTATTCCCCGAAAAATACCCCCGACGGGCCGGGGATGGTGATAAAAAAAAAATCCCCGATGATATTCGGGCCGGGGACGGGGATACATGTTTTAGTCCCGGACCCGGCCCGATCCCCGCCCCGATCCCCGGCCCGGTTGCCCCCGATGTGAATTTACTACTTTGCCCCTGCTTATATATAACATATCTTTATCTTTGATTCATCTACTCTCTCTCTCTCATTCATGTCTTTTGTCTCTCTCTCCCTCACTCACGTCTCTCATCTCTCTCATCTCATTGCTTCTCCCATATCTCTCTCCCTCACTGCTTCTGTTCTCACGCCTCTCATCTCTTTCGTCTCTCTCTCTCTCCCTCACTCACGTCTCTCATCTCACCGTGTCACAGCCCCGTATACAGGACAAGTTTGAAGATGGACAGATCTGCTGGACAGACCGTGATATGAAGCTACCGATGGACAGATCTCTCTCATCTCCGATCAATCTGAAGCTACCAATCTGGATCTGGACAGACCGTGGTTCGATCTGCTGGACAGACCGTGGTTCGATCTGCAGAAGCCCTCTCTCTCTCTCTTGTTGATGAACAATTTTTTTTTTTTAAAGTTATATATATACATCTATTGTTATATATATATATATATGTATCTGTTGCTGTTGGTGATGGTCGATCTGAACAGTTCTTGTGTGTGTGTGTGTGTGTGTGTGTGTGTGTTGAGAAGTGTCGGGGATATTTCGGGGTCGGGGAAACCCGATCCCCGTTAGGGGATGGGGGCGGGGGAGGTGATAAGTTCCCCGTCGGGGATCGGGGTTGGGGCCGGGGAGATTTTGGCAATCGGGGATCGGGGACGGTGATCCCCGCCCCCGCCCCGCCCCGCCCCGCCCCGTTGCCATTCCTAGTGATAATCAAACTCACAAATGGCATAACTTGCATGGTGTGTACCGTAGCATTTTTTTTTATAAATTCCACATAGTTTAAGTATGCAAAGTTTATACTTGTTGTTTTGATGTGCAAAGTCAAGCGTCTTTGTAAAAGAGATAAATTATAATGAAAGAAAAAGGGAAAAAAGGATAACCTTTATGAGAAAGTTGTTGTGGCCGACTAATATTTTGGTAGTAAATGTTTTCGGTGAATTATAGGCTGCAACACACGATGTCCATGGGGCAACTTTCTTGGTTGTAGTACTGTCATTTCCAACAACAGTACAAGATAATATATCATGCAACATAGCCTCGCAAGTTCCAAGTTCAATTTCGTCAAAATAATTGGATTCTCTCATCTTAATCTTTTCATCATCATTTGGATGGCCGATGGATAGATTTAAGATATCTACTTTATCTTCAATAGCAACAGTGAATGCCCTGGTCATAAAACCATAACGTAGACTTCCAAAAACCAATTTGTAAACCGCTATCCTTGCTGCTGGTACCAATCTTCAATTTACCAAAGCTAGCATTTTTCACGAGATTCCCCACTGTTATAGAAGTACATTGGGTGTCGTGTCCAATGTAATCCTTTTATAGAATACAAATTAGCATCAGCACTTCCTTCTATTGGGTCGAACAGTTTAGCTCCAACTATTTTACTGCAATATAGGCAACTCTGTAAATTATAGTTTAACTTTACTACCTATAACACAAAAAGACATTGATTGGGGTTGCTTATGTCTTTAAATTATAGTCTAACTTTACTACCTATACCTTTTTGTGTTATAGGTAGTAAAGTTAGACTATAATTTAAAGAATTGCCTATATCTATGTTAATTTATGTTGTAAAATAGTTGGAGCTAAACTGTTCGACCCAATAGAAGGAAGTGTTGATCCTAATTTGTATTCTATAAAGGATTATATTGAGCACGGCACCTAATGTGCTTCTACAACAGCGGGGAATCTTGTGAAAAATGCTAGCTTTGGTGAATTGAAGATTGGTACAGCGAGAGGAGGAGTACCAGCAGCAAGGATAGCTGTTTACAAATTGGTTCTCAGAAGTCTACGTTATGGTTTTATGACCCTATTGAAGATAAAGTAGATATCTTAAATCTATCTATCGGCCATACAAATGATGATGAAAAGATTAAGATGAGAGAATCCGATCATTTTGATGAAATTGAACTTGGAACTTACGAGGCTATGTTGCATGATATATTATCCTGTACTGCTGCTGGAAATGATAGAGCTACAACCAAGAATGTTGCCCCATGGACATTGTGTGTTGCAGCCTATAATTCACCGAAAACATTTACCACCAAAATACTAGTTGGCCACAGCAACTTTCTCAAAAAGGTAATCCTTTTTTCCCTTTTTCTTTCATTATAATTTATATGTTTTACAAAGATGCTTTTGCACATCAAAACAGCAAGTATAAACTTTGCATACTTAAAATATGTGGAATTTATAATAAAAAAAAATGCTATGGTACACACCATGCAAGTTATGTCATTTGTGATTAATAAATTGATAACACCACATGAGATATAACCAAACAACTCTTAAATCATAACAAAAATAATGTCATAACCAAAATCAAAATGTGTTATAAATAATAACACAATATGTCATAACCAAAGACACAAAAGTTATAGCCAAAGGTACCTATGATACACAACTCAAAAGAATTTTCCGAATTAATTTGGATATTTGATTAGTGGATAGATAAGATTTTCAATCATGTCAACAAAAAAAAATTAAACCTTCAAAACAAATAAATACTTACTGCTAATTGAACATTCCAAAAGCTGTCTCATCCCTGGGATTCTTAATTTGCTAAAATTCTATTAATTCTGCAGAAACACACGCTTATTATATTAGTTTTTTTTTTTTTTCAATTTAATTTTGGATTTTGCATGCAGGGATTCTCAATTAATCGATTCGGGGATACTGAATTTTGGAGCTTTATCTATTCTAAAAATACAAGAGCCCCAATAGGTGCGGCTTGTACTGGAAGTTCAAGTTCTATGCCCGGTAATAAAATAAAATAAAACATACTATTTTTATTTGTCAAATGGCATGATAGAATGGTTATGTTTTGCATAATTTGAATTCAAGTCAAGCAATGAGCTAGATCCCAAAAAAGTAAAAGGAAAAATAGATGTCTATGCAATCAACACAAATGGAATGTCTGCCTTGAGAGCTGGTGCTGCAGGTGTTATCATCATAGGCAAGGGGAATGATACACCTCGATCTCTAATCTTTCCACTTCCAACGGCATGTGTGACTAAAGAAGATGGTGAATTTATTATCAAATACATGACCCGTACCTGTACGGGTTGTGTGCTAAATTCATGACTTAGTTACTCTATTTTTTTCTTAAAATATATATATATTCTTAATGATTTTTATGTTAATTTTTGAATAGTAACCCAATAGCTAAAATTTGAAGTGTTATTGCGCGGACATGTGTCAGTGAATTTCATCCTTTTTTCCACAATCTAAAAACCCTAAGCCCTCATCCCTCATCTCAATTTGTCAAAGCCCTCCCTTCTCTTTGAAGTTAGATCACCATCTCCTCCCTAAACCCCTCTTCCTCACCCCTTCCCTCAAACTCTGAAGATGAAGATTGACAACATGATGATGAAGTTGAAGATGATGGGTGACGACAAGTGATGAAGAAGAAGATCAACATTTTTTTTCCAAACACATGCAAGAAACCAAATATTACTAAGATTCTAATCAAGCTACAATTAAAAATAAATAAAATCTCCATTTCAAACTTAGAGAGCGCACATTCCGCATCACACTATGCCACTAAAGCGAAGCAAACATACTATTGTTTCAATTCAAGTAATAATTGGTTCAGTCTATTCAAAATGAAAATAAATACGCTCATCTATTATATATACTATAATCATATGTTCTTAGGTTTTTTACTTGAAAGTTCTACTCTTCCCAATTTTTCCTAAATTTTGAGTTTATAAAATGATAAATTCTAAAGACCCACAATTTCAATCTCACAATGACATGGCAAGAGAGTCTAGGATTACATAGTTAAGTTTATGACAAATAAAAAATTCACATATTACCTGCCATGTCATTATGCATACAATTGTGAGACTTAAATTGTAGATCTCGATATTTTTCCTTATGAAACACAAAAACACACATTTCAAGTTATCATTTGTTCTTTCTAGTGTTATTAAGAGTGATAGACGCATCGAGGCGCCAAGGTCTCTCGGAGACTAGGGGCAAGGTGCACATAGACTAAAAAATTAGAAAAATTTGAAAAGGCACTTCACAATATGGCCTCACATAGAAAAAAAGACCCTTCAAAGCAAACTTATAAATGGTCCATTATAATAGACATCATAAAAATTTCACACCATAAGGCCATACCAAATTTCAATAAACATAATCAAAGATAAGAAGCACGGGTGCAGGTGCAGGTGCAGGTGCGGGTGCGATATGAGTACGCCGATACAGCAAATTTTAAAAAAAGTAGGGTACGAGCTGTGTTACATAGACTCGGCACTTTGGGGCGAAGTACCCGTGTCGACACGACACGGATGCGGGTGTGGGATCTGTGTCGGATTCGCCTCTTCTCTCTCGGACACGGCTCTTTACAGACAGCAAAAGAAATGAAAGAAGAGAAAGGAAGAGAGAACCTGGTCGCTGTTGGCTTCGATCACCGATCACGATTAGGGCTCTCACTATTGATCACAGTCGTCATCGTCATCGTCTTCGTCTCTGAGGGCTTCGATCATCTTCGTCACTCTCTTCTCTCACTGCTGATCTCGATCTCGATCGTCTTTGTCTCTACGCTTCTCTCTCTTCGTCTCGTCTCTGCTTCCCTCTCTCTTCATCTCTCAATCTGTTTGTTGTTCCCTCTCTCTTCGTCTCTGTTTTAATTGATCATATATACTGATCATATATATAATATAATTTATATAATTCATAAACTATAATTTTTATTATATATAATAAAATATCTAATTTGTTATTTCTTAAAATATCATATATAATAATATATTTTGTAAATTATTATTCATATTACATTTACATTAACAAATAGTACAAATTACATTAAGATAATAATATATAATATTATTCATCCAAAAAAAAAATTATATAACATAATATATCATAAATAATATAATTTTTATGTCTAAAATAAAAATAACTTATTTTATCATATATAATATAATTTATTTTATATCTAAAATTATTTTTATAATTTTTATTTGTTATTTATATAATATAACTCATCTTCATATAATAAATATATATATTTTTTAAAAATCTATTTAACGTATCCCCATATCCGTATCTAAATTTAGATACATATCCACGTATCCTAAGAATCACGGACACTTCTAGGAAGGTGACGTATCCGTGTCGGGTACGTGTCGGACACCGACACTCTTTGGACACTCTCAGGACACGTGTCCGACACTCTTCAAAACGTGTCCTATTGTTTAAAGACTTGGACACTCTTTGGACACTTGAAGGACACACGTGTCAATCGTTTAAACACTTCAATAACATAATTAAAAAGAGAAATTACAAAAAAAGAGGAAACAAAAAAAATTAAAAAAAAAAGGAGAACAAAAATCTGGAAAAAAAAAATGAAAAATAAAATTTATTTCAGTTTTTTTGATAACATGTGAAATGCTGTGGGGGGCACCCTCCATATTTGTGTAATAAAAAATACGGATGTAATTCCCCCTTTTTTTATTTTTTTTGATAAGTATATCAAAGAAAAAATATTATAAACAAAAACGTTTTATTACACTACACTACACCCATTAGCTTAATTAAAATTTTAATATAACTCAGCACAAGTTGTTCACATTGATTCAAAAACCAATCTGTTCTGGTAAGTTTGTTTAGCATGAAAGAGTAGGAAACAACAACAAAATTAGTTTTTTCTGTACAACACATATTAGCAATGGTAACTGAGTTTTAATTTCTTGCACAAAATAAATAAATAAATAAATAATAATAATAATATAAAATTTGTCCATGCAATGCAAGGGGTCACGTATAGTTAAAATTATAAATAAATAAATAAAAAATCTCTATCTTTTTCCTGCAAAAATTTCATCCTAATAAAATGTTTACAAGAAAATATATTTTCCTTTCCTTCCTTTCCTTTCACATTCGAACAAATTTTCTTTCTAATCAAACAGAGCCTAAAACAAAGAAACAGCTTAACAACCATTACAACAGAACAAACCTCTCATTCCAACAAACAGTCTAAAAAACCAACTGAATATATTAATATACGCATTCAAACACAAAAAAAAACACAGACTGAGATTCAAAAGAAAGAGCATGCAAAAACAGAACAGCATTCAAAACCCTAGAAACGGAGGGAAAAGAGGGAGTACCTGACGAGAAGAGGAGTCGTCATTGGAGCGGAGGAGGTCGTTTGCTGCCAAGAAGGAGTACAAAAATCTAGGGAAAAAAAATGAAAAAAGAGGAAACAGAAATCTGGGGGAAAAAAATGAAAAATGATGTGTCTTCGTTCTTTATTTGCCGCGAAAAAAAAAAAAAAAAACAGGAAAAAAAAATGAGAGAAGTGGAACAATCGAAGAACAAAGAGATCGAAAATCTGGAGAGAACAAAGAAGAGGAAGAAGAATCGAAGGTGAACTTACCGAAATGTGATCTTTGAAGGAGAGAATCGATCAGCACCTTCGATTAAACCTCTTCAATAGCTTCGAAGGAGTTCTTCAGGCTTTTGGGAGTCTGTCTGTGTTTCTGGAAAGAGAGACACAATCGCATAGACTATAGAACCCTAAGGTGCCGTTTGGCAAGAGAAGTTTGGGCAATTTTAGCCACTACCGGACCAAAAAAAAAAAAAAAAAGGCAAAGTTTGGGAAAACAAAAGGGGGTTGGTATTCATGTACCCTATCTATCCATTCTGGGTAAGTTTTTCTGTACACCGGAGTCTGGACCCCTCGAGCCATAGGTCCACACATCTGTGATTGGCAGATAGGAAAAAAAAAAAAAAAAAAAAAATTTCCAGCCAATAAGAAAACACTGGGGTCATGGGGGTTTGAAAAATTGGAGGTCCAAATCATTTTTGAACAAAAAAAAGCTAAATTAGGCAAATGGAGACAAAAGTTTGTCAGGTGCTTGGCAACAACCAATGCCAAGGTAAATTTACGAAACTACTCTCACATAAGAGGGGCATCACCTCAGCGTCAGCACACACAAAGTAAAAAAAAAAAAAATTTCCCAAAAAATACCTATTCTCAGAAAAAACAAAGAAAGTTGAAAAAAAAAAATTTAAAAACAAAAATTAGCATTTGCGATGTAATTTCAAAATAAATAAAACACATGAAAAATCATTTTTAAAAAATAAAAACAAATTAATGTATACAAATAAAAATAAAAATGATAAAAACGTAAATTAAAAAAAAAAAAGAACCACAAAAATACACCTCATCCAAAAAATAAAAAAATAAAAACAGAAATTAACATTTGCCACGTAATTTTAAAATAAATAAAACACATGAAAAATCATTTTTGAAAAATAAAAACAAATTAATGTATAAAAAAAAGACAAAAACATAAATTGAAAAAAAAGAATTCCAATTTAATACGCCTCATCCAAAAAAAAAAAAAAGTACAATGACGCTGACGTGGAGGAAGGAGCTGGCTGGGAGTGAAAAACTAAAAACCACAGAAAAAAGCCTTTTCAAAAAAAAATAACCAAGGTCAAACAAATAAGAAAAATAAAAAAATAATAAAATCAAAATTTATCATGTGCATCGGTAAGTACATAATGATTTTTGACATCATTTTAAATAAATTACATAAGAAAACATTTTTCCAAAAACAAAACCAACAAGTAAAAAATAAAAAATAAAAATAAAAAAAATAAATTAGCAATTGCCACATAATTTAAAAATAAAGAAAACACATGAAAAATCAATTTTGAAAACTAAAAAGAAATTAATGTATACAAATAAAAAGAAATTGACAAAAGCGTAAATGAAAAAAAAAATAGAACCACAAAAATAAGTCTCATCCAACAAAAAAAAAATTAAAAACAAAAATTACCATTTTCCACGTAATTTGAAAAAAAATGAAACACAAGAAAACCCATTTTTGAAAAATGAAAACAAATTAATGTATAGAAATAAAAAATAAATGACAAAATTTAAATTTAAAAAAAAAGAATCAAAAAAATACGCCTCACCCAAAAACAATAAGAAATAAAAAAATAATTTAGCATTTGCCACGTAATTTAAAAATAAATTAAACACATGAAAATCTATTTTTTAAAAATAAAAATAAATTAATGTATACTAATAAAAATAAAAATGACAAAAACGTATATTAAAAATAAGGAACAAAATAATGTATACAAAACCCAAAAAAAAGACAAAAACATAAATTTAAAAAGAAATAAAACCATCAAAAGACGCCTTATACAAAAACATAAATTTAAAAAAAAATGATAAAAAGACGCCTGATACCAAAAAAAAAATGAAAAACGGCAAAATGACGCTGACATGGAGCATCAACGGCAAGGAGTTGAAATGGGTAAATTACTTGAAGGGCAGTTTGGTCATTTAACATTAAGAAACCTCACCAAAAAGTCAAAAAGTCAAAAAAGTCAAAAAGTCATCCCCAAACTAAGCTTTTTAGCACCAGGAAAATAGCCAAAAAGTCAAAAAGCCAATCCACTTCCCAAACGACACCTAATTTTAATTTGTTTTATGTTTTGTTTATTACAAAAGAACCTCAAATTTATATAATTTTTTAAAATAGACCAAAACAATTGCTCCAGTACCCTTTAATTTGTAAAAAATATCGTTTTTTACCCTAAAGTACCTAAAAACATACTCATGATGTACCCATCACTATATTGATTGTATAAAATGTACCCGGCGCATTTTTGGTGTACCCGATACACTCACATGCACCCGGTATTTATACGGTAACATTTTTTAAGTACCCGTGCTTGACCTATTATACAATATATACATCACCAAAATCCATATTTACCTAATCAATATATCAGTAAACCAAAAAAAAAAAAAATCTTCCAAAACATAAATCCCCAAGACCCCAGCTAGGCCTAGCAATCCCAATCATCCAACAACATAGTTACAAAGCATGATGCCAATTAGCAATCTAAAACCATCCAATTATATAAATAGCAGCATCCCAACAACGTAGCAATAAGCAAACATCCAAATAGAAGTAGGAAGCAGGAATAACAAACAAAATATCTAAAACATTCAAACACAAAACCAGTGTGGTCGGAAAATCACCCACACAATAGTTACAAAGCATGATGCCAATTAGCAATCTAAAACCATCCAATTATATAAATAGCAGCATCCCAACAACGTAGCAATAAGCAAACATCCAAATAGAAGTAGGAAGCAGGAATAACAAACAAAATATCTAAAACATTCAAACACAATACCTCTAAAATACTAAAACATCTAAGCAGCAGCAGCAGCTGAGCCCACAAGTTATTACTTTGTACAGTAGCTTTTTGTTTCACACGCATATGATTTACTGCAATAATTACAAGGTGCCCTGACTCTATCACTGCCCTCCATTTTTTTATGTTAACCTAGATGGTAAAAATCATAATTTGTAAACCTCTAACCTATTAATCTTCCTAGGGATGTAAGGTATTTTACCAGAATTTGTGGCAGCCTGTTATGTTGACCCAGTTGAACCTTGGTTATCTGCAGCCATATCGGCAACTTGGCTTGCTTCAGATTCCATCTAAAAGCACATGGATGAAAGAAAGAAACCAATAAGGAAACAAACAGTCAAAAGACTTAAGAATTGTGTTTTTCTACTAAGTATGATATGATAAAGAGGAAATCTATGCAGCCCAAGAAAATTCAATACGAGTAGGGAGTTCCAAATACAAAAAAAAAAAACCAATTGTGGCTAGCCAGAAGGCGCGTATAAAAGACAATTGAACATAATTTAGATAGAAAATAATATATGAACATGATTAAACATAGGGGTGGACATAGGGTTATCCAGTTCACAAAAATCGTCCAACTCGAACTGCCTATCCAACTCAAACCGCCCGCACCTATTTGGACGGTTTCGCAGAATTATTAGAATCGTATGCAGTTTAGGATTTTCTTATTTTGCAGGTTGCGAATGGGTCGCAGGTTTTACCCGCACCCGTACTCACCAACCGGCATCTGTATACAAATTTTTTTTTTTTATCTGAACCATCAGATTTTCTTGTAATTTTATAAGTGTATAACCCTAATATTCTCTTCTCTCACTCACTTTAATCTGATTATCAAACCTGACACATTGCTTTGCTTAAAAAACTTATTATTCAATTGGAATTTTTTCAATTTTTTTGCAAATTTAGTTATGTGATGTTTTTTTTTTTTTTTTTGTATGTTAGTTTTTATTTAATTTTCCTTCTATTTTTTTGTAACCCAGCTTTAATAGAGATAGTGTTGCAATAAAAATTATTTAAAATAACTTTTTAAAGGAAAACGCTTAATCCACAAACCTTACTACTCGCAAACCTTATCCACACAAATTGCAACCCGCATTGTGGGTAATTGCGGTTGCGGGTTCAATTTTCTCCGAATCGCAGACATGCGGGCCAGTCCAAACCGCAAATTGAACCATCAAAAATCGATCCGCGAACACCCCTAATTAAACTCCGTAGAAAAGTAGAATAATTTCTTCAACAACAAAAAAACCCTAATTTTTTTTTTGGTGAATAAGTAAAAAAAACCCTAATTTTACTCCCAAACATAATCCCTAATTTTTTTTGAACCAAACCCTAGAATGTAGATGTGAGAGGGAGGTTACATACGACACAACTTCGCAGATCAGTACATTGGAAAGAGGGTGAAGTGACGACAGTTTGGGATTAAAAGGTGCAAAGGAACGAGGAGAGAGGGTTTTTAGAAGGAGGGTTTTAGTTGAGATCGAGATGGATAGATGGTCATGAAATTCTCAACCCTAGGATTAGTTTTTAGTGTTTTATGGCCCTTTTGGAAAACACCATTTGAACTAAAATAACAAATTAAGATAAATATGTTTTAAAAAAATTAATAAGATAAAATGTCACTTTCAATTGATAATTATCTTATTTTTTTACAATCATTAAATTAATTACAAAAAAAAGTCAAATAAATTTTTACACATAACTATTTTAGTTAGGCTAAAATAACTAAAAAATAAAAAAGCCAACTAAAATAGCGAACTTCCAAGTGAGACCATTATTTCACTACAAGAAAAAACACATTTGGCGACTAAATTTTTAGTCCCCAAAAGTTGGTTTTTTAGTTTCCCCGACTAAATTTTTTAGTTGTTGGTTTGGTCACCGGAAGACGGTCGGGAAACGTATTGGCAACTAAAAAACTTTTACTAGCCAAAAAGCAAGTCTTTAGTGACCAAAAATTTGGTCGCCAATAGTCAATTATATATTTTTAATTATACATTTACCGACCAATGTTTTAGTCGCCAATAGTCAATTATATTTTTTTAAATTATACATTTACCAACCAATGTTTTAGTCGCCAATACTCAAGGAATCGGCAACCAAAGCTTTTAGTCGCCAAAAGCTCATTCGTGAAAAAAAAAAATTACACTCACTAGCTTCTCATCTGCTGCTCTTGTAGAGATTCAAACCATCAACCTCCCACACCATAAACCTTATACAATACACTCTTTCCACTACGCCTCTATAACACCATATGATTATATATGTAACATATATTATTTATATAATACATAGACCCGTATTAATATAAAAGTATATATATAAAGATAATTATTTTTTATTGAACATAATTTATGTAAAAAAAAATTATTTACTA